TTTTCCCCATTCAAAACTATACGAGTGACACGTCTTGGGTATTCTGTAGTCTTTGCAATAATCCACAAGTAATCCACACCACACCAGTCCATCAATTGATGTCTTTTGAAGCAAACAGCTACCTGTTTGTAAGAAACAAATCCTTCATTAAGGCGTTTTAACTTACATCTGTTGTTTCTGGTCAAAATATGAGTTCATAACCCATAATAACGCTTCCATCCCGTTGTCCTCTCACATCAATATATACCGTATCAACACATTTGTTTAGAACTGTTTTGATCTGTTTTTTGTTTTTGTTTGAAATGGTTCTTGATTTGTGCATATTTCTCTCCTGATTCAGACAAGGTGACTTTTTCAATGGAGAAAGCAATATTAAAGATGGGGCTCATATTTCAGCCATAAGTGATGGTTTAAAGTTAAAACTTCTTAACGAAGGATCTGTTTCTTCCAAACACACAGCTTTTGGCTTCACAAGACATTGACTGATGGACTTGTGGATTATTGTGATGTTTTTATCAGCTGTTTGGACTCTCATTCTGACGGCACCCATTCACTGCAGAGGATCCATTGGTGAGCAAGTGATGGAATACTACATTCACCAAATCTGTTCTGATGAAGAAACAAACCCATCTACATCTTGGCTGGACTGAGGGAGATTAAATTTTCAACAAATTCTCATTTTTGGGTGAACTTGCTTTAACAATGTTTTCAGCCTTACTTATACTGTATCATTTAAATTTTTATAGACTGCTTTAATAGGCCTATTTTTTATACTTTTTATACTTATATAGATATATAAATTTAAGGTTTAGTTTGAAAATCATTACATTTTTAGAATGTTCAGCATTCTAAAATCTACACAGCAATGGCATCATAAAAATATTTGCATACTGATTGGTCGTCTTTCTGACATCTGTTTGTATACTGTATTGTGTTCTTTTTTTTTCGTCCCTGCATCCATTTAATCTTCTAAAGCTGCCTTTATACTGCAGAGATGGCTTTGCAGCTCTATGTGCTGATTTTAATGCACAACTGAAAAAAACAAGACATGTGAAGCCTAAAACATCAACTTACCTATAACTTTAACACATTTCCTTTGTTGTCTTGCAAACACTGTAAATGTGAATCCTCTTTGTGATTCATATGGTGCTCTCTGATCTCCTATTGTTTCCCCTTCTTCTCATGCTTTTGTCTTGCTTTATCATAAATCAGCAGGCTGCTTTGCATTAATTAAAATTAACAATGATTTTGTCGGTATTGTCTTGGGGATTATTCTGCTCACCTGTGTCTCCATCTCCTCAGGATCAAGCGTCCAAAGACAAGGCTCTCCAGAACATGGCAGCACTTTCCTCCGCTCAGATCGTGTCCCCAAGTCTAATCAAAACCTCTCTTCCGCCTCTTCCACAGTCCCCCTACCCCCCGTCTGCACGGGTACGATTTAGATCATTGTATTTAACCTGGAAGTAACCTCTTGCACAAATTATGGAGCGATTAGAATTTTTTTTTTTCACTGCTGTTTTTCCAGTTCTGGCCGACCCCCATCCCAGGCCAACCCGGACCCTCTGAGGAGTGAGTAACTCATGAATTCATACGTGTTTCTCTGTGTGTTTGTGTATCTGGCACGTTTAATGGATCACGTTTTTATGTATCAGGCTGGTTCTTAAGCAAAATCCAGGAAGAAGTCCTGGGCTTGGCCTCATCAGCTACGCGTAAGTTCCCTCCACAGAGCTTGAACTGATCTTTCGCTAGAGTTAACATTGATTCACTGCTACGGATGAGAATCTGGTTCAGATTGCATTGACAGTAGTATAATAGGTCCAACCGGTTCAATGACTTATTTGACAGATTCAAACTAGTATCTCTTGCGTTTGAGAGTGTTATTTTAGTACTATAGTTTTTATTAATATTTTTTAGATTTCCAGTTTTAAATTTATTTAAAGATTTAGTAAATTTGGCATTTTTATTACTTTTTGTGTTTTTTAATATTTCTTTTTAGCCTTTTTTTTTAATTTCAGTTTTACTTTCAGTTATTTTAGTACTTCAGCTTAAACTTATTTCAGTTAATGGCCAAAGTAACATTTCTAATTTTCGTTAAGTCTTTCATCTAATACATCTGTTTATTGTCTGTATGCAAGATTACTATGCACTTGGAAAATATAGAAATATTTATATATAATTATATAACAATACATGATAACATACTAATGCATAATAATACAATAATTTCAGGAAACTTCCTGTGCCTGGAAAAGTCTTAAAAGTTATGAAAAACTCCATCCATTTCTATAAAATAAATTGTCCTAGTTATGCTTGGCTCTAAATTATTTAATTATACATTTCTCTGTGCAATGTTATTGAATGGTCTAGTAATTACAAACAACTGAGAAAGTCGTGGAAATTCATTGGTGGTTTAAAGTAGTGGAACTCTTATTATTCTGTGGCGGCCACTCTTTTTCATCACATTCGGTTCAGATTTGAAGCTCACCGTTTGGCTAAAACTTGGTTAGATTTTACTGCAGATTCAGTAGGGGTGCAGGAAATACCGTTAGAGACCGATTTTAGTATGCTGCTCTGTCTGGGTTCTGCTTTTTACTCCCATCATTATTCACAGGCAGCCTGCTAAACTAATTCCTCTCTACATCGTGGGCTCTGTGGTCTCCGCTTCTGTTGAGATCTCTTGAGCGCGTGTGTTATCAGACGTGAGCTAGCGCACATGACTGTTGTGATGTTACACTCCCACTCTGAAGTAGGTGAACTTACGCTTAGCTGAAACGGCCAAAACAAACAGTTGTGGGATAATTGAAGTGTCAAGGTGTGAAATATGCCACCTTTAAAGCAAAAACAATAACAAAGGGTTCCCACGGTCATGGACAACTGGAAGACACCAGGAAATTTGTTTTGTGTAGGACTGGAAAGTAAAGCGATAGCGCACTCAAAAATGAAACTCCGTCATTATTCACTCACCCTCATGTTGTTCCAAACCTGAATGAGTTCCTTTCTTCTGAAACAAAGAAGATATTTTGAAGAATGTTGGTAACCAAACTGTTGACGGTAGCCATTGACTTCCATAGTATAGAAATAAATACTATGGAAGTCAATGGCTACCATCAACTGTTTGGTTACCAACATTCTTCAAAATATCTTCTTTTGTGTTCAACAGAAGAAAGAAGGGATGCACCGATGTATCGGCCAAAAATCGCTTTCAACCTATAAAAGCAGTTAGTCGATATTGGCCGATTGTTTAAAAACAGCTGGTGATATATGAAATATTATACAGTCAGCTAGTCATTATCACAAAATAAACCTGCCCACGATAACAATATCGTGCATATTCATTACCGTGATATATCGCATTACCGAATACCGGCACAAGTCTACCCCAGACAGGGTGATCAGGACCTGAATGTGAAGCGGAGGAGTCTTGATTTAAGCGATAATGACTGGCTTATTGTCCATCGTGTATTTCACAACTACATACTGGACAAGATATATTGATTTCAAAAAGAAATTTTGATTCCATTGTCGGAGTATATATTTGAAAATCTTGACCATTAATAAAGTGAATATACATTTGTCTAGTTATCCTCTAATAATCAGCTGGATATTGCTCTTGTCTAGCATAAGACTTGTTTACAAGCCATACTGATGTTTGATTTGTGAGTGAATCATTTTTTGACTCGTTCTTTGCATTCGATTCAGTTGAACTGGTTCACCAATCAGTCTAAATGATTCATTTACAAATTAGTTTCATCGAAATGATTTTTAACAATCCTTATCCAGTAGTCGCAAGTGATTGGAAATGGTCAAAACGTGTGGGAACCCTGATAAGGTGTTGTTTAACCCAAGTAAATAATCTTTCATGTGCAAAATAACTTTGATTCTAACAAATCCTGAACGCTTTTTCAGCATCAAGCCATTTGCACAAACTCCTTACCCAAACCTATCAGGACCTGTTCAACCACCCTTATGTAAGTATACTAGTGCACTAGTCCATTTCAAGCACAGCCCACCCCGCTTCAGTTTCTTCTGTTTATGTGCATGGTTGAGTCTTAACTGGCGCCCCCTTGTGTTTGTGCAGCATATGAGCCTCTGGCCCCACCTCTCCCGCCGGTTGCCACCGCAGTGCCCGTGTGGCAGGATCGCACCATCGCCTCCTCCAAACTGCGTCTTCTGGAGTACTCCGCGTTCATGGAGGTCCCGCAGGACCAGGACTCTGTGAGTAGACAGGAGCGCTCCACAAATATGCTTATCTAGAGAGTTGAGGGGAGAGTGATATGGATGAGTGTGGTTAAAAAAAAGGCTGAGTAAAGCGACACTGTGTTCTTGTACGTGCTCATGATCCGACGTTTGCAGCATCTCAGAGCGGCCTGGTTCACAGTAAATGCTGCTTCACACGAAATCCATCTCCAAATTAATATGCATTTGGGAACTCATCATGCGCCAACTAGTTCCCAAACTTGTGATGAGAAGCACATACAAACAGCTGTTGTCAACAAAAGAGAATCTTCTAGGCTCCCTGTGGTTTTCCAACCAAAATGAAATCTAGATGGTTTAATGTTTGAAAATGTGGAGATTAAGACATAAATATTAAATATAAATATTATTATTGTAATTGTACAGTTGAATTGCTAAATAAATTATGTTTTAAATTATAATAATTTAATCATTTTTTTACTTGGTAACAACTACAATAATATTTCTTATATTCTTATTACTTAGTAATAATAATATTTTTATTTTGGATGCGATTAATCGTTTGACAGCACTAATAATAATCAATAAAATAATTATAATTATTATTATAGTCATATTAATATACAATTACAACATTTCTGGCCAATTTTGCGGCCCTACAAATAAGCACAGCAAGCCTGGAGCATTAAAAAAAAATCTAAAGATCTATTAATAATGCATTTATTAATCAACTTTTTTATTAATACAAAATAAATAATCTAATTTTAAACACAAAAAAAACTGAATTAATGAAAATGTTTTCATTCTGTTAATTTACCAAAAAATTAAGTATATTAATAAGAAAATTTGATTCCATTTTCAATTTCATGATATAAATTATGTATATATAAATCATGACCATTATACATTTTTCTAGCTATCGTCTGCTACAAATTATTAATTGAATTTATAATCAGATATTGCTCTTGAGTATGTATCAACGTAACTGTTTCAGTGAAAAGTTTAATTGATGAATACTCAAGAATTTCTTAGTATTTGGTTTGTCTCCTTTTACTCTAACTACATTGTTGCTGACTTTGAGGCATTTGAATGAATTCACTTGTTTTTACATATTCATATTTCTTCTTTCAAAATGAGACAGGTATAGCATAGACTAACTTTATTAAAACCAATAGTGATAGCATACAGAAACACAGACGGCTCACAATATATTTGACGTTGTCTTTTACAGTACAGCAAACACCTGTTTGTTCACATTGGCCAGACCCACCCCTCCTACAGCGACCCTCTGCTGGAGGCGGTGGACATCCGACAGATCTACGACAAGTTCCCCGAGAAGACAGGAGGACTCAAGGAGCTGTACGAGAAGGGCCCTCAAAACGCCTTCTTCCTCGTCAAATTTTGGGTGTGTGCATGTCATTTATGTCAATAAGCACGTAAACCTTCACAGAAAAGCACTATTTTGGCACATACCTGCCTTGTTGCTTCTACAAACACGACTGATTCCTCAAATCATGCAGCTTGAATCTAGTTGGTTGTAGCTAGTAGTTTGTGTTTCTGTCTCAGGCGGATCTGAACAACAGCGGCGTTCAGGATGGACCGGGCTCCTTCTACGGAGTCAGCAGTCAGTACAGCAGCTTAGAGAACATGACCATCACCGTCTCAACCAAAGTCTGCTCTTTCGGGAAGCAAGTGGTGGAAAAAGTGGAGGTGAGTGAGAGCAGCATTTAACTGACTGACTGAAAAGCACTAGCGTTTCTCGGATCTGACCACATTTCTTTTGGACTTACAGACAGAGTACGCTCGTGTGGAGGGAGGCAAGTGTTTGTATCGAATCCATCGCTCTCCCATGTGCGAATATATGATCAACTTCATCCACAAGCTCAAGCACCTGCCTGAGAAATACATGATGAACAGCGTATTAGAAAACTTCACCATCTTACAGGTAAAAGACTTTTAACAGTCTGTCATGTTTATATTTATCTGTATTGTTTTATAGGCAAGTAATTTTTCCGCCTAAAGAAATGGAAAAATCATTTTCATAACACATTTAAAATGAGGAATATCAATGATCTAGAATTAATTGAATTCATTATTAAGTTGTTTTATATGTTTAATAATAATATAATTATAAAAATATATCATTTTGAAATGTAATAATGATGATGATAATCTTAATAATAGTAATATATATTTTACGATCAGAAAAATTATAAAAAATTTGAAAAAGTATAACATAATATAAAAGTATATTTTATAAAGTTAGCAAAATTACAAATAATTTAATTTCATATATATATACAGCTTTTTGAAGATGCTGATTTCATTTTCCAGCAGGATTTGGCACCTGCCCACACTGTCAAAAGCACCAAAAGTTGGTTAAATGACCATGTTGTTGGTGTGCTTGACTGGCCAGCAAACTCACCAGACCTGAACCCCATAGAGAATCTATGGGGTATTGTCAAGAGGAAAATGAGAAACAAGAGACCAAAAAATGCAGATGAGCTGAAGGCCACTGTCAAAGAAACCTGGGCTTCCATACCACCTCAGCAGTGCCACAAACTGATCCCCTCCATGCCACGCCGAATTGAGGCCGTAATTAAAGCAAAAGGAGCCCCTACCATGTATTGAGTACATGTACAGTAAATGAGCATACTTTCCAGAAGGCCAACAATTCATTAAAAATGTTTTTTTTTATTGGTCTTATGGAGTATTCTAATTTGTTGAGATAGTGAGTTGGTGGGTTTTTGTTAAATGTGAGCCAAAATCATCACAATTAAAATAACCAAAGACTTAAACTACTTCAGTCTGTGTGCATTGAATTTATTTAATACACGAGTTTCACAATTTGAGTTGAATTACTGAAATAAATGAACTTTTCCACGACATTCTAATTTATTGAGATGCACCTGTATATATACACACACATTTCTTTTTATGTTTATTGCTTGTAAATAGTAATCAAAATCAATATTTTCTAAAGGCTATTTACCTTTGTGAAACATGTCAGAATTGAACTTCTGTAATAGAAATGCTCTCTTCAGAGATGTTGAGTTTTTCTTCTCTGTTTGATCTGCTGCAGGTGGTGACCGACAGGGAAACCCAGGAGACTCTACTGTGTATAGCGTTTGTATTTGAAGTGTCTACGAGTGAACACGGGGCACAATACCACGTTTATAGGCTCATTAAAGACTAGCACCGCAGCCGCTAGCTGTTCTGACAACAGACTTCTGTTGCTTTGCACAGTCTCTCCGTCACACGTATGGAGGAATATGCCAAATTGTCCAAACATCGGAGGAATACGCCTAAATGTTACAAAAAACAAAACAAATGTTTTGCTTTTGTTCTAAACCTGGTACAGAATTTGAGTCTTTGAGGACATAAAAAAAATAGTATTACTCTGTAAAAAAAAAAAAAAAAAAAAAAAAAAAAATGTATGTTTTTTAATGCCTTAAATACAAAATGGGTAATGTTGGTTTTGTTGCATATACAGATCAAAGATGTCTTTTTAAGCTTTGTTGTGTCTCCACGGAGGGAATGTGAATGTGTTTCGATGGGAAAGAATGTCATGAAAGACAATGTGTGCCGTTTATGCAGCATTTTACAGTGATTTAAGGGTGAATCTCACAAAGAAATGTCTCATTTTACCCTAAAATCAGAAGGAAAAATATATACCATATTTTGAATAAAGAAAATGAAGGCTATTTTTAGGACCAATTTTGCATGTTATTTTCATGATCCACACTTTTTTTTCTCTCTAAATTCTTATTATAATGCAAGAGAAAATGCTATTCTCATTACTCTTAAAAACAGTCATTTTTAAGAATGAAAATTAGCACAAAGGCAATGCTTTTCTGCATTACAGTAAAAAGATTTGGGAAGCAATATGATTAATGTTCTTCAATATAATGTCATAATGCAAAAAAAATAAAATAACAAATATTAATAATAAAAAAAATAAGCTTGTTTACTTTATGCTTTTTTTTTTTTCATAAAGAAATATTTTTATTATATTTTTTCTTTTGATTTTGGGGTGAAATATGACCTGGGCATGTTCTTGCCAGGTTTGTGAGGTTTACCTGATTTGTAAATGAGGAGCAGGTCAGTCGGCCAGCGGGGGGTTTGCCTTTTTCTGGCCTTTATTCAACTGAATAACTGCAGATGTTACTTAAGTTTCATCGGCTGTCCTTTGAACAAGAGAAAAGGCGTCAGAAACCGTTTTACAGGTACTAAAGGATTTTGAGTAGTTGACCCAAAATGTGAGTGCCTTCCTTCAAAGAACACAAATCGATTGATACTCTGAAGTGCCTTTTGACTACCTCTTGACGTAAAATAGTAGGAATAGATAAAGCGATCAATTTCTTTATGCTACGACATGACAAAGTATTTAACTCTGCTGTTCATCGAAGCTTTCGCGAGATGCATGAACTGAGGAAAGGTCGGATTGTTTAAAAGTCAAGTGTGAATGTCACTCTGGTACAAACAAAGTGCTGCCCGTCGCGATTTTAAACATTTAATCCTGGAACAATACCTCCATAGAGTTTGTTTGATGTCTTTTTAAATCGGAGGACGTTGCGTTGCTGTCATATCTGATGCTTTTTAAACCCTTGAAGAGAATGGTTGCATTTCCAAGCTGTTTCTTACTCATTTTTTTATCTTCACAATATACCTGCATTGTGTACTTTTTTTTTTTTTTTTTTTTTGCATCAAGTAAATTTTTCTTGGAATTACATGTCGGATGCTTTAGTTTTGAGTTAAAGCATCTGTTTTTTGTTGTTTTTTTCCTGGTGTTAAAGTATAAACGTGAAAGTCATGACCCTGTACGTCAGCACAGATGTGTGTTCTTATGGTTTGTGCATCTCTTTGAATCTCATTTTTAGATGTAAAAATACAAATATTTCTTGATATTAAGAATGCACCAGGTGTTCGACATGAAATTACAGAAATATGTCATTTTAACAGTGCTTAATGGAAATCATGTTTTGCTACTACTGAAAATGTAATGTTTATTTTCCCAGTAGAGAACTAAAAACTTGAATTTTAGACCAGATTCGATGTTTCAAATGCCTGTTTTTGTTGAAGCCATGTAGCATTTTTGTTCCACTCGCCCCTAAAATTGTAAGACGGCACCGTTTGAATGGACAATGTTCTTGGGATGGTTGTTAGACATGAGCTGGTGCTCGCTGATAGCAGTTTTATGTCTAGATGCATTCTGAAGGTACTGCGAAGTCTTGGGTACACCTTAAAAATGGAAATGTAATGTATATTGGTACAGCCTTAACCTACTTTTTCGTGTTTGAACTTCAATGACGACAGTTTCCTCAATTGTATTTTTTCTTACAGGCTTTTTTTTGTTTCCTTTTTATAGTTATTGTTATTATAATTATTAATTTTATGTTTGCTCTTTGACTTTCGATTGATGCTATATGCATACATTGAAAATTTTGTGTGTTACTGTTATTTTATGCCATAATCTAAGTGGTGTTGGCAAAAGCTTTCCCCTTGTTTTTAACAGTTCATTGTGGCCTTGGTTACCAGTTGTGCATTGCAGTTATGTATATCTTCAATGTTAGGGGTTTGTACAATATAATCAAAACAATGTATAGCAATACCAATAAAATGGCATGGGTCTCCTTGGACCATATTTCTTAAAACACACTTACAACTTTGTACAAGTGTCTTATTGTACAAGTGCCAAAAGGGACTGCGGATGAAAATTAGCCAGTGTTGGCTAAATCTGGCGCATTTTACATATTGTATGTACTATTAATGTGCATTGTCCCTGATTAAATAAATACATGAAAATGAAATTCTCTTTCACATCAATGAGGATGACAAAATCTTCATGGAAGCAGAAAAGGAACAAGATATATTTATGTGTCTGACATTCAGGAAAACTGAGTTAACATGATTGGTGTTTTGTAATTAATTCTCATCATCCGCTTCCGTCAGTTGCAGAAGTTCTTCCTTTAGAGGGCACTTCAGAAAAGTGGACTACTTTAACTCTAAAAAAGTATTTTGCTTAAATGTAGGCTATTAATTCTTAAGCACGAATAAAGACCTCCGAGCAAATAGCCTAATTTTAAAATAATTTACCCCGAGTTTAATAGCTATTTAATTGAAATTACTCCGTGAATATTTAAAATATGCCGATTAATATTTTGAGCCATTGTTTTTGTCCAAACAGAGTCAATAATAAGTGAGCGTTTCTAAGAAAAACTCACTTTCCCAGCATTCCATTCGACGTGGCGCTGGTAATGACGAAACCGTGACGTCTGACAGTCGGCGTTCCCGCGTTTATCAAGTTTAGTTCATTTGCTACAAAGTAGCTTTTGCATAAAAACAAACACTGTATTGCAAAACTCGATTATGCGCGATACAAACTCTTGTGTCAGTCACGGGAAGACGCTTTATTTTGCGCTCAGCAGTTGAGAGATGAACACGTTTTCTCATTTTACAAATTAAAAGTTTAAAGTTAAATGTCCATCAGACGCGTGTGATAAAGCCGAACGATTTGGCTTTTCTACAGACGACATGCAGGTCTGGCAGATGAGGAAGTAGCGGTCTGACTGTACTGTAGCCGATGGACAGGATATGATACACACTGAGCTCACGAGAGTTTGTTTCTAACGTCGAGATCAGATTTGCATTGATAGCGCAAAACTCTTTCGAGTGTAAAGGTAAGATCAGATCTCTTAACAGCGTTTAATTACATGCATTCTGCAGCATTTGAGCACAGATGATACGTGCTGTGATGTTTTGTTATATAATGCAGTGACAGTCGTTTTTAGGTTATGTATATTGCATCATATGTTTGCACAGTAATCTACCTAACTGTAGTCATTTTATAAACGTTGACATATTTACTGAAAATACCACAATGCGTTTAAATGTTAGAAACCGCTGCACCTGCGATAACTTACCTCACACACGAGCATTATAGATGAATATGAATGATGTTTTATATGAAAAATGTTTACCATAAATCATTGTATTGTAATGGTACACAAAAACCATGGTTGTACTCAGGCCTGGCTCCAGATATGAGATGAAGGGTGGGCTTTAGATCTTATAAAACAACTATTTACATCACTATAATATTTACAACACTATTGTGTTATGTTATGTAGTATTCTAATAAATAAGCTTGTATGACACCAACATTTAAGAAGCCAGTTAAATTTGTACAATTCTTGATTCCAATTTCAATAAAACAGCAAAAACTACAAGCCTAACAAAAATAAGGATAGGTCATCATTATTAAAGACTAGTGAAGAAGAGTCAATAAAATAAGTACTAATAAACAAATTACAAGCATCAGCACAAATAAATGAACAGAACAAAGATACAAATTAAACACTGCTTTTAAAGATACAAATTAAACACTGCTAAATTTTTTAGGTTTGTAAATTGAATAATCAAATGTAAAATAACACTCTCTCTTTCTTGGATTAACATAAAGGACACCGGCAGCAGCTGGTACAGGAAATTAGGCGCGGTCACTTTAAGAGACAATGCATCAGACTGCTTTCTCAACTGTTTACGTTCACTTAAGACATAACAAGGATCGTGAAAATGGACCATTTGATGGTTTAGGATCAGACGTTGAGTCAGTCAAAAACGATCTGCTTATAATAATCATCCATATTCTATAGGCACTGGCCAGAAGGACATGATGGGCTTAAGATGACAACCTTTCATTACTCTTGTATGTTTGTTGCATAACAGTATGTATCAAGATGCTGTAAGGACAAGGATTCAATTTCCTTTTTCTCTTTATATTAAACAATCGATATTATTGAGGACAGCGGCTGAGGAGCGTGAGATTATCAGCGAGCACTGGAGCTCAGGACAGCTGCAGGAGAATAACAATCCTACGCTGGTAATCCAGTCAGCTCGGGAGGAGGATTTACACTCCGGTTCACGGCTTACCAACAACATCACAGAGAATTAATGAATCCACATCCATCACAGACCCACTGTATAACTGCTGTGCTGTTTGAATACTGGTACAACACGGTTAAAGGCACGCCTAAATGTGCCTTTCACTACTCCTGTGATTGTAGAAAATCAAATTACACCGTCAGTGTTCCATCAGAAAAAAATATACGTAAACTAGTTTTGTTTAGAAATTATATAACTGTATGAGATAGCGAGGGCAGCCTTTTACTCCACACTTGGCTCATACAAACACTTCAGCTAAAATAATATGTTTTGTGCAATATATGAGAAATATAAAAGCAAAATACCAAAATGTATTATCATGTCAATTATTGTGCCTTTAGCTGCAACAGCAGAGGCTCTTTTAACCCAAATAAGATACTTTTACATATTCATATAACAAGAGTTTGTCTCAAAAAATATTTGGAAATTATAATATTTTTCTTTTGCTACGTAAATCTATAACATATTATTTTAAAAAAATAAATAAATTAAAAAAGCAGGCCCGGCTCCACGTGAGATGAAGTGTGAGCCAAGTGACATTCCAGATGGGCCAGGGGTATGGTGGGTATATATTGCATTTTTATTTTTACATTCTCTCTTTTTTTTTTCTTTTTTTTTATATTATTTTATTTTTTACCCCACAGATCTTGTATTAATTTAGTAACCTTAGATTTCATAAACATTTTTAAAAAAAGCTCAGGTCTTATAAAATAGCTATTTATGTCACTACAATATTTACATAATAAATAAGTTTGACACCAACACTTTAGATGCCAGTTAAATTTCACAATTCT